CTTGAGGTTGCAAAGTCAGATGACAGTTCACCATATGTTCCGACTCGACTGTTAGTGTTTGAGTAAACAGCCTTTACGTCTGCATCCGGTTCTCCTTGTTAAACAGGTACATAAAGTATTCCATATTTTTCAGAGCTTTTCCATCGAGTGTGATTAGGTTGATGTTCTCCCTATTGTATTTGAGAACCTTGCTTTTTCCTTGATATATAATGAGGCCTAATGACGCAGAGGCTGCTGCTTCAGTAAGTGTGTTCATCTGAATTTGGGATAGAAGGGCTAGATCATCTGCGAAATCCAAATCTTTAATTGATTCTGATCTATCCATTGTATTCCGTGTTTTCCCTCAGATGTCGAGGTCTTGATAATTCAGTCAACCACTAGAAGAAAGAGGAAGGGGAAGAATAGACAGCCTTGTTTGACTCCGGTCCCTACTTGAAATGGATCCATGCTTGACTTGCCGTCCGTCTTATGAGTTCCGGATAATATTGTCAATCTCCTCAGAGACTCCATAGTGTTGAAGAAGTTTCCATAATGTTCTCTTGTCCACATTGTGAAATGCTTTCTCATGGTCAATGAAGTTGATGTTTAGTGACGAGTTCGATTCAATCGATTGTTCAACGATGATCCAAAGTGTTGTGTTTTGGTCTGTGCACGAACGATCCTTACGGAATCCAGCCTGGATCGAATAAATACTTCTAACCAAGGGAAAAAATTTCTACTATATGGTTGTTAAACATATTCCCAAATAAACTGCTTATCACTGTGATTCAATCGAAAAACTTTTCAATGACTGATTTATTTATTATACATGTCATACAATGACAATAAAAATAACACTCAACCACAGGGTGTAATCAGTCATCATTACTTATTTGTATAAACTAGAAAGTGACAAAACCAAATGTCTATTCAATGAATGACTTTTATAGATCTTCAATATGTTCACTCTTTAATAGTTCATCTTGGATCATCATATTCTCTACCATCTGAATTATTCACTTTGAATAAATAAGTAAATAGATGAAATGAGATGGTCAAAGAGAGAGACAAAAAGAATTATATCATGGTTCAATGTTTCAATGAATGATCTATTCTCCTTTCCCTTCTTTAAACCATCTGTTTATTAACTTCTTATCTTTTATTAATTCAATTAATAATTATTCGTTTATTTTTTGTTTGTTTTTTCTAATTGGGTTGGTATATGAATCTTTTTTCTATTGAAGTTTATTCATTAGATAACACCTTTCAATTACTCACTAGGTGGTAATTAATTATGGGCTTATTTAACCTTTATGACTTTACATCAAAAAGAGGAACAAAAAAAAGAAGAAGCGAAAAGAAAATTATTAGTATGGGGGTTGTGGAGATTGTTAAGTTTATGATTGAGATCATAAACCGATTGATGTTAGACCATCATTGAAAACCTGGAAGCATTGGACGGTCGTTTCGTCCCATTAATACTAATCACTTTAATAAACAAATTCAACTTGACAATGTAAATTAGATCGCCTAAAGGCATAAATCAAATACATTAAAAACAAACACATTTAAACAATGATGATGTTATATTGTAATAAACAAACTTGATGTTCTATGATCTGAATAGACAACAGGTGAAACATTAATAATGATTGAATATGAACCATATTGAATTGAAATTCCATTATGTCGAAGATTGACCACGTGGTTGTGATCATATTATATTTGCCTTTAGGCTTATTATATAATCATAACTCAATGAAATGTCGAATAAAATAGAAGAAGATGAAGAACAGGGTAACTATCATTGAAACGATTCTAATTATATATCTACATCGTATTGATTTGACTTTTTTTTCTACATAAGCTAAATGATATGTGCATGTTACTTTGACAAAAAGAGATCATGATCATGTGAAAATATCAAACGAATCTTTATGAGTAACTTTCATAGTTCAGTTCAGTTCAGTGGATGAATGGGATTCATTGAAATGTGTGTGTGTGTGTGTGTACAAATAAATGAAACAGATGGATGGAATTGTAAAGAAAACAAATCTATTGACTTCATTCATTCATGTTTCAAAGTAATAATGAAAATATAGAGAAAAACTAATGTGATTAACAAGAGGAAATTCTCTTTAAATATAGAGATAATCGAATGTTGACAACTAATAAACATTTAGATTGTCTAGGACACACTTTGGTTGTCGAATACTGTTCTTATTTTTACAATAGTGATAAGTAAACTTGAATTGTAACTGAATTGCCACAAAATGCCTTGACACGGTCAAGGGTGGAGAGGATCAGCTCTCCCTGCTTCCATGCAGCCACGTGCATACAACCACTGCCACACAAGTCCTACTCGCTGACTTCTCCTGGCATTACTATTGTTTACGAAATCGAGAGGATGAAAAGCGAATGTTCGATACTTTAAACAGTTGGTGGATACGGATGGTCCACCTACGAGGGTTGAAAAACCATGATTTCCAACCAATGATGCACATGGGATACAGGATCCTGAGGGATCAAGTGGCGTATGAACCAATCGTTGCTCAACGGCGACCATGGGACTGCATCTCCTAACGTTTCTCCACTGCCTTATGGAATAGTCGAAAGCTTCGGATTGTGCACTCGTGCAGTATCCTATCCCTCACACAAATCGAATGATTTATGCGGCGCATATTTATTTGCTGCCTTCTTGTATCAATGTTTATGTATTTAAATAAATAACAAACTTTTATTCATCAATGTATTACCCTGTAAATTCAATTAGGTGAAAAGAGAAACATGTTTTAATTTGATCTTGTCATCTTTTTCATAGTTGTATATGTTGATGGTATATTAAAATGCCTAAATAGCGCATTGAGTAGTGTTATATCCTAGTAGAGATCAAACTACAGGTAACTTTCGAGATATATTCATGAATTAATATTGTATATTTATATTCCTATTGTATAACTGATCAGTAACTAGATTATGTATATCTACATTCCTCTGATTATAAACTTCGTTTTGACCTATAGATTATTATTATACGATTTACTATTCTTAAATTGTACTCAGTTTATTGATTACGATCTCTCATACTCAAAGCCACTTTTTGGCTAGTTCTTGTACAAATGTTATTTCCTAGTTTATAGTGTGATGCGGTCTGTTCGCCTGGTATGTAAACCAATCATGTTTAAATAAATGATTCGCGTAGTAGAAGCTGTTATTGACGTTCAAGACTAAAGTGGACAAGCTAGGCGAATGTAGGACCAATAAGGACACTAGGCTGCTCATACTGGTCAAACATCATTGGTTTGACAGTGTTAAGAGTGTATAAATCGTATTTCGATTGGTGGATAAATCACGTGATAACTAGCCCGATTTAAAGTCACAACAAAGTAGCTCTTTCAAACTCATCTTAATGAGTTTAGTAGACTGAAACAGTGGCCATTTAACAAATCGAATCTGAAATGTTATCATCTTGAAGTGGACATTTAATTCGATTCACAAGTATAAACTTAGTTTATTTTCAACGGAAAATTATCAAAAGTTATTAAACTTATGTTAAGACATTAACTAACCTCCTGCAAAATGGTGTTTGAATCAAAAATGCCATAACATCTGATTCTTAATGCTGAACAATTCCTAAAGGTTAATTTTTAGTAACACTCGAAACTCTTTCAACCAAATGAAATTGTCAATAGATCTTAGAAAACATGAAAATGACTAGTAACTAGTAATCAAATCAAGATCCTTTTCATGATTAGTATCAATAAACTTTAAAGTTCAAGTTAACATACTACTTGTCTTATTATTCCTATAGTTTGAATTGCAATTTTGACCATCTATTCACGACCACTAATGAAATCGAACTAAATCCCATATTCAATAAAATGAATAAATATTCAACATAATTCGATACACACTTATCAATTATTTTATATCCGTCATCTTTGTAAGCAATGGCGGTCAGTTTTCCCTGTCCTGTTTTAATCCTTTGTTTCTTTTGTGTAGCTGCATAATTCAGTGTTTCAGTGTGCTGAAATTACGCGGTTAATGTAATACTCCAAATGTTGTCGCAAATTTTCATGAAATCAGTTTTTGTTCTCTCGGTTTTTGTTGCGGCTATTCAAGTCAATGTATTTCTGCAGGTACACTCGCTTGTTTTATGTTATAAAAAGTTAGTACATTTTGTTTTGAGTATTGTATTGTAGATGATGAAAATCAAAGCTTTTCTAGTTAAAATAAGTGTTGCTGACGCCTGGGATTTTAACTGTCCACATGTTCGTTCCTAACTGTCATTTATGATGTTATCGGGAGCAATGATAGAAAACGATCTCTGGTTTTTAATTTTATTCAGTATTATGGACAGCCCTATCCCATCAACGAGTCAAATTAATACTGAGTGCCCAACAGTAGGGGATATCAGTAATGTTTTCGAAAGGACCCAGATACCTGACAACCATAGACGAAGTCATAGATGCTACCAATCTATTGCAGAGGGTTTGTTATTAAAAATATACCATATAACAGTAATAGATGGGTTGTACTCACTAAGTCGTGCGTGAAGGTAAGCCTAATATTGAAAAGCCGGAAATCCGGGACTAGTGTGTAGCGTATGTTTGCTGTTTTGTCTATAAAAGGAACACGGACGGCAATGATCAGGGAGTTAAGGCGTAACTGATTGTTATTATGCTCACTTTTTTATAGGTCAAAGTTCACCGGTTGCAAAGTTATGTTTCTTTTATAGTATGATGTTAACCGGTACATAATATCTCCACTCTTGCTAATAAAAGTACCTGACAATTTCCATCTTCTTATTCGAATTATTTTTAGACAATTTTCTTCCACTTTGATTAATTCGTACACCAACCGCACTTATTGGCTAATTTCGATTGGCCAATACTAGACAAGTAAATATAAACCAATCATATAACGCATCAACATAAGCTTATTTGTATATAAATGAACAGGAAACAGTCACTAAAATATCATTTAAGATTTACGGAACGGACTGGTTTACGTCCTACTCTATGAATTACAGTGTAAATAATTTAGGAAATACACAAAGAAATTCCATGCAACTTAAAGATTCTGATAATGATTTATATAAAAATGTCAATTTCAATAACATCAATACTGATTCATTAAATTTAATTTCAAAGAGAACTACTCCAATAAGATCCAGACCTCGTTTATTGGCTAAATTAATCAATAAAAGGAAACGTGAAACCATGCAGTTACGTAATCCTAGAAAGAAAACGAATAATAAAACAAAAACTGATCATTCAGATTTCTTGGGTGTGGATTCGAATATGTACGATACTCATAATTCAGAGAACCATACAATTAATACTGATATATTACCTCCAGTTACAGATGAAGAATTACAAGAGTTACGTTTAAATATTAATCAGCGTGAAAGACAAAGAATGCATGATTTAAATTTAGCCATGGATGGATTGAGGTATGTGGAAACTGTAATTTATTTGATGTCACTTATTTTAATTAATTTACTATAACTATTCCCTAATTACAGAGTCAATATAAAATGACAGACATTGCCGTCATTCGTAAGACTAACCCCTTATGCTAATAGGAATTGAACAGTATAAGTTATGAATATCAACAACGGGAAGATCTAAACCCTTAAAAATATTATTCTTTTTGATTCAGTTTGAAATAAGTCAATCAATTATTGATTGTCATAATATCAGGTAAGAAGAAACTAGAATACTTCCTACCTTGAGGGCAGTTACTGCATAAGATTTGTGCTTGACATTTGTAAAGAAATATTCTTATTTAAGTACAACTAAACAATAAACATTAGCTAAATATCTTGATATAGAAACGTATTATTTCAGATACGTCAGAGGCCTAAGTTTGTTTTCAAGAAGGTGGAGAATATTTTCTGGAATCTCACTCTAAGAATAAACTAATTTTAATTCAATCTTAATTCTGAGTGATTATTAAATCATGATAAGTGAGCGTACTATTGTTTTATGCAGATAACACAAAGGATTACATGATAAAAAAATTTCTGCTTGTTTACACATTCTACTAGTCATTTTGAAATAGAACTTAAAAGACTATGATGATTTATCACTGAACTATACTGAATCACTTGATGTTGTTTTATTTGTATATTCCCATTGTTATTTAGGAGTGCAGTTGATCAGTGTCTTGTTTGCATATGTGCATTCTATGAGGATTGCCTCAATATAGCCTTAAATCACAAGCTATTTAAGCAATGATTAATAGTGGTTAACAGTGGAATCCAGTTTGACGCGCCTTTCATCCTATTTGGGACTAGTCAATTGGATGTACCTGCATCGCATAGTTGATGTTCACTCTGGGGCTCGAACCCAGTACATACATACTGTTCTGCTACGATCATTGTTCTAGGTCTAACTAAAAAAATTAATCAGTTACTTTAAGAACTTGTGACTTTAGGCTATATCGACGCGATCCGCACAGGATGCACAAATACCAACATGAAACTGATCAATTGCATCCTAAATAACAATGAGAAGATACAAGTAAAACAACACCAAGTGAATTTAAACTTCACCCATTGCACAAGCAGGTGGCTATCAGGATTCAGTAGCTAAGTGGATAATGCAATGGCGTTTGAAGAGAACGGTACTGAGTTCGAGTGTCGGAGTGAACATTAACTCTGGTATTCAGGTACACCCAGCTGAGGAGTCCCAAATATGATGAAACGCGCATCCTGAATTCCACTGCATAGCCACTATTCATCTTTGTTTAAAAATGTGCTTAGTCAGTTTTTAAATAGTACTAAACTTTTGTTTACTCTTTGCTGAATAGATCGATAAAGTTAGGTAGATTTCATGACGAGTTTTAACATTCAAAAGTGACTATCAAAAATATCATCAATAAACGATTATTTATAAGAGATTCTTTGGTTTCTAGACGATATTATTTAACGAGTATGCAGTAAAATTCCTTTATTAACCATTATGTAACCACTTGTCTTTCAAGCGCCATGTTTTATGCTATTCCTAATTGTTTTTCAACAAGTAGATTATATACATTAATTTAAACGGTTATTTTTTTGTTTCTAGGTCTGTGTTACCATACACACAAAATTCATCTATGAGAAAATTATCTAAAATTGCAACATTATTGTTGGCAAGAAATTACATCTTACTTCTTACAAAAAGCTTAAATGAACTACAAGAAAAGTTAGATATTATATCGAAAAACCCTTCAGTATGTCAATATGAATCCATAAAACCAACTAATCCTACTGAATATCCCTACCCAACTGTTTCTACTGATTCAATAAAATATTTACCAATAGTATCTTCAATGAACTCATTATTTTCATTATCAACACCAATTCTCTCGTCATCAATAGTGAAATCAACTTCTTTGTCGCCTTGTTCTTCAACTTCATTCATTTATCCAACATCAACTATTTCAATGTTACAGTCAGTACCCAATTCATCTTTGTTTGTACCGTCTAGGAATCATCAGTACAGACACAAAAGTGATGAACAAACCGGTCAAATTTCTATACCTATACAAGATGACAATGATAAAATTAATATTGTATCTAATAATTCTATTTATTCAACACTAAAACCATTATTTTCATTTCTTGATCCTAATTTAATGAATAATTTAATAAATGATTGTTCTTATAATAAAAACAATACCATTCTCTTTGATACTAATCTTAGTAACAATCTACATAGCAAAAATCATAATGATTTAATACTTGACAATCAAAGTACACATTTCAAGCATTTTGATTCACCTTCTCATACTATTTTATCCAATTATCTATCTATAGAAAAATTTACTCCATTAAATACAATGAATAATCACCTAATAGATCCTCAATTAAATTCAATATTTAGATTAAATTTTATACCTTCACCAAGTATTTACTCATCATCTCAGTATACTATATAATATGTAAATATGTATAGGAATCAGTAATGTTTACCATATTTCTTCTTCTTCTCCTCCTTTAGAGAATCATTTTCAAGTGTACAACACATGTAAGACTATTTCTTATTGAATGAATATTAAAATGTTTATTGTGTTAAATTAGTCGATTTTTAAATAAACAGAATTAACATGTACAAATTTATTTCTTTAAAAAGTATCAATACCATGTGCTCACTAGTGACTAGCTTCATGAAGGAATTCTTGGAGTTCTAGTGGGAAGTTTTAACCAGTGCAGTTAATCCTTGTCGGGTAGAGGCAAGTTTCTACCTCAATACAATGAAAGATGGTCGCGCAATTTTGTGGATTGGCTGAAGTTAGACATTAACACCGTTGGATGCCGATTCATTGATCTAGATGTTAAGCGTTCGCGCGCGAGACTGTTGCGTCCAGGGTTCGAATTCCGCGAGGCGGCGGGATAGTGGATGCTCACTACGGAGAAGTCCTACAATAGGACGAAACGGCCGTCTAATGACTCCAGGATTTCCATGGTGATATAACATCAATCAATTCATGATCTCAATCAAAAAATTACTTCCTTAACTTTGATAGCCCTATCCAAGTGGTTCGAAAGAAGATATTTTCATTAATTCCTTAATTAAAATGGATCGATTTTTTATCATATACATACATGGTCAGTGGAAAAGAGAGGAAGTGAGGAATTAGAATATCACCTGTTTGATAATCACAAATATTTGCCTACAAAAATTACTAACTTACTTCCACCTCTTCCCCCCCCCCAAATGGAGCATAGGCCGCCGATCAACATTCTTCAGCCCACTCTGTCCTGGACACTCCTTTCAAGTTCTATCCAATAGCTGTTCATTCTTCTAATCTATTTCCCCACTTCTCGGCGTAATGTGTTATTTGGTTTTTCTCTCCTCCTTCGGCTTTGAGGATCCGAAGTGAGGGCTTGTCTTGTGAGGTAGTTGGGCGCTTTTCCCAATGTGCGTTCTGTCCACTTCCAGCGCAGGAAGAAGCGCGGGTTTGTCCTTTCTGCATGGAGCCCCTCTGAAGCTACTGCTGATCTCAAGCCCGGGTAAAGAAGGAGGGTTGGGTATGTGGTTAGTGACCCATCCCGTAGAAAACTAACTCGCTAAAAAACGCTAACCAGAAAAAGTAATTCTGAAGGTGCTTTTTTCAATCTGTGATAGTTAAGTGATGACTAAAAGTAAAACATGTAAATAACATTACAAGCAACAAAGAAAGAGTAAATTTGGTGTGTAAATATGAGTTCCATTGAAGAATATATAGATTTGTGTTTTTTGAATAGGGTCTTTGCCATCCTGAAAATAAACATGTGCACAAATTATGTATATACATATATATCTAATAATAGACTGGTCCACATTGGAATTTATTGGCAATAAACTTATTCAAATAAAAACTCCCTTCATACATAATAAACATACTAATACATAGATTTCTTATTTATCCTTTTGTCCATGTGGTATCATATTATCTTTCTGGTCTTCTTCAGCAGATCATCTCACTTTCATTTGAAGTAGATCTATTTCTTTTGATTTAGTTTGAGTATAGATGGGGAGACGTATACTCCTAGATCATCTTAGAAACTGACTGTTGTGTCTGATATTTGACATTCAATTTATTGAGGTAAGTACTAAACAACTCAGATTTCATTTAATGTAACTACTAAACATATAACGAAAATATTTAATATTCTGAAGTTCAGTAATGATCGTCCTTTTAAGTCACTAAGACAAACATATTGCAATATCCATGTAGGTATTCTGATACATTTGTGTCCGAAGTATTAAATACCTGGAAAAAAAACCGATTCGATGTACAGATTCTTGATTACATGCTTATTTTGAAGCAAAATGCATAGGTTGTTCATTCTTGAGCATTTCGTAACATACCAAAGGGTACCTTCTGATTTACGTCAATAAAGTAACGAAAAGTTAGATATTAACGCTTCTGGATGCCGGCTCAGCGGTCTAGAGGTTAAGCGTTCGCACGCGAGACTGATAGATCCTGGGTTCGGATCTCATGAGGCGGGATCGTGGATGTGCGTTGCTGAGGAGTTGCACAATAGGACGAAACGACCATCCAGTGCTTTCAGATTTTTCATGGTGGTCTAGCTTCAATTGACTTAATTGATCTCAACTATTAAAATTACTATAATATTCACAAAACTCCTTCTGGTAATAATAAATTCCACAGGTTGAAATCATGAGTCGATTGAAGCTAGACCACCATGGAAAACCTGGAAGCACTGGACGGCCGTTTCGTCCTAGTATGAGACTCCTCAGCGGTGAAATTTCTAAAAATCTCCACAAAACCCATTCTGATAATAATAAATTTGTCGAAATTCATTTTTAAAACTTTAGAGTCAATATTTTTGCACCATAAACTGGATTTTGTTTAGATGGTCCTAGATGAAAGAAATTCTTTCCAAACAAAAGTGGTTAAAGACTGGATTTTACAATACTACTGAATATCAAAGTGCCGAATAACACGAAACCTGGATTTAGGGTATCCAGCCGACTACTTTCAATCACCACCTCATCTTGTATTGTCGGTTGCTATGTTAAGCCCACATAACTTATTCTAGCTTCTAGACAAGCCAATTTATCCATTCTATTTGAATCACGTTTTGACCATGTTAACTATTCACTTATCAACCTTGACTGCATTTATGTAAACATATAAGTGTTCATTTCCTATCTTACTCATCACATGTTTGTAACTTAGTTTTGTTCGGCTATAAATATCCATTAACACTTGGTTGAATCCAGTTGGCCTTCTCCACTGTGCGCCATTTTGTTTCACTTCTCTCTCTTCTTCTTCGCTTTCTTTGCTGCGTCTCTCTGATTGTTTGTTCAAAATATACATATTCGAAATCCATTCTCGTATTTGATTCCGTTATTCCCTTATTCATCGACACGCATTAAGTCGATAATTATACACATGGATAACCGACATATATATTTCAATAACAATCATTCATACGATCGTTCTAGAGTCAGATATAGGATTAACGAAATCTCAACATAGGTCACGCGATCTGGTCACATTGCAACTTGTTCGATAATGTTAAATCTATACTAAGAAAGACTTTACACACATACACAACATTAGTCACTACACAGTTATCAATGAATTGTAAATTTTTTTACTTGTTTCCACATATGTCAAGTTAAACAGTCAACTAATAGATCATCAACACATGACATTTTATACTCTTTTCTGGTTAACGTTTTTGTTTTCTATCGAGTTAGTTTTTGCTATGAGATGAAGTCGTTAACCTCATGTCTAACCCTCCTCCTTTATCCGAGTTTCAAACCGTCACAAACCTCAGGAGTGCGGGGGTGGCGGCGCTCCAGGCAGAGTTATACTTACACAAAAATAATTCTAACTTATGGTTACGTCCATTTAAACATTTTAAAATGATGAATCAATTTATTAATTTTTTTTGTGTTAAACCATATGTTTCATTGTTCCTAGATAAATCTGTAAAACATATTATAATACAATAAATCAATAAATCAATATTTAGTTGCCAAGATGGGCTGCTTTTTTAGTTTTAAAAAAAAAGAAGAAAAAATCAAATAATGTAATTCAAGCTTCTTATAATATGAATGTTTTGTTAAAAAACGAAATATTTTTTATATTCTGTTAACGAGTATGGACATTGTATACTTTTTAGAAAAAATATATATCTACTATTATCACTAAGTGTTATAGTTTATTATTTGTTCTTACAATTTACCAAAGTGAATAACCCTACAGGGCATGTACGTGTGTATTATACAGTTATCACTATGCGAATATGTTAGATGATCACGAGGCTCATTATGGTTATATTGTTTCATAAAATGTAAGACATATGGTCAATACTGTTATATGACTAATTGAGGATTATTCAATACAGGTTTGTAGTATATAATAATTTGATCAATAACAGACATTTAAGAAAAATCCTACAATCGAATATAAGACATTAAGTTATTTCTTAAATGATAAAAGAATGCTATAGGTTTGGGGTGGGGGGATTTAAGGAGCATGTTGGATTTTGTAGTTTACATCATGGAATGATTTTAGATGGACAACTTGTAGTGACCTACTTTTATCAAGAGAACGCGATTGGTGTTATAACCAATTGTGCCGGGGATTGTTTTACCGTACTTGCTTGTTTAACTGTACCGGAATACATACTTTCTTCCGTTGATTGTGACCTTGCACGAATTCGGTTACGCTCAGTAACCACACTTGTAACCTGGCACGATCTCGGTATTCTTTCGATACGACGGGATCACTAACAAATACATCTCGACTACAGCCATCAACTGCCTTCTGATATTTGGCTTACGGGGGGGATCTTATCGGTTAACTGGCACGTATTCTTTCTGTAGTGGTGATCATAGTCAACCGCTACTCGACGCCGCACTACGAACCAATGAAAACCAGAATGAACTAGACTGTTGTCTCATACTCGTATGGGACATCTTAGAAGTGTGAATCCATGAATAAATATTTAACTTAGTATGTTAGTCAAAGTAGCTATGCCACACTCATGCTAACTCCCACGTGAATCATTCTAATTTCTGAACAGACTACTCCTTTTTATCTTGTCGGTTAATTTGTACACTTGACTTTGTTAATAAGTCACCTATATCGTTAGGCATTTTTATAGATGTATACTTGGGGGTACGTATATGTCTGGTTACTTCCTATGTTTCTTAAATGCTTATAAAAATTGAATCATCCTAATATTCGCTGAGTCTGTGCATTACCGAACTGCAATACTTTACGCATTCTCTGTACCAATTATTTCTAGTATGTCGTTTATTATTTGCATGTATGAAATAGACGTTTACTAGATACAACTTATATTCG